GGAAAATCAACCCAGCAGCTCACGGAACCAAGGCACCAGTAAACAGGCGGAAATTTCAAAGCAGCACAGTAACGGGAAAAAGCATCCCATTTCGGAAATCAGCCCCTTATTAATTCTGAAGGAATAGTTACAGGAAACATTGGTAACTCACGGCACCAAGGAGCCATAAAGCAAGCAGCCCGCCAGAATTCAAAGCAGCAAAGCATCGGGAAAACAAAGACTGGCTGAATTCCCAAAGGAAAATCAATAACTTCCCAATGAATTCTCAGCATAGAATTCAACCCCCATAAAATACAAGCCACGGAATTCCAAGAGACAAGAAGAAAAGGGGGAGGGACAAGGCCACTCCAAAAGTAAACTTCATAATGATGTACCTTTTGGATATTAATGAGCTACTAAACTTCAGCTCAAGCAACTTAGGGAACAAGCTCAAAACCGAATGCTCCAAAACAGCCAACCTGAGAACCACCAGCGGCCAGGGACCAATCGAGCCAGCAAACCAAAGGTCTACCAAGTCATATGCACTACCTACCATGATCATTGGATGTTTTCCCATCATTGGATAGCTAAAAAAAGAAAAGAAAATAAAATAGAAAACAAAATATACTATTGTTCAAACAAAATAAAAAGTACATAAATTCTTGATAGCATCAGTATATATTTGGAATACAGTGAATAAATAGAGATAAGTCAAGATGATTCATACACCATTGTAAGAAATAATGTTAAAATAGTAGCACAAGGGTATTACCAGATTGAAGAGATTGATTTTGAAGAGTTATACACCCATTTAGCTAGATTAGAAGCTATTCGACTATTGTTAGTATTTGCTTAATTTAAAGGATTCAAATTATACCAAATGAACATACATGTGTTTTCGTAAATGCAATTATAGAGAAAGAAGTTTATATAAAATAATCACCAAAATTTACAAATCATTTGTACTCAAATCATGTATTCAAACTAAAAAAGGTATTGTATTGACTAAAGAAAAATCCTACAGCTTAGTATGAGAGATTGAGCATATTCTTGGTTAGTTTGGATCTTAGCAAAGGTAAAGTAAACACAACATTATTCATCAAGAAGATTGGAAATGATATGATATAATCTCATATTTATGCAGATAAAATCTTATTTGGAGCCACAAGATTCATCATGTCATGAGTTTGCAACAACTATAACAAGTTTGAAATGAGCTTGAAGAGAGAGACTATACATTTTATGGGATTACAAGTAAAGCAGAAGGATTATGAAATTTTTTTTCTCAAATTAAATATATTAATGATCTGATTACAAGATTCAAGTATATTGGTAATCTCATGAACCTAGCAACTAAGTTAGATAAAGATGAAAATGGGAAGTCAGTGGATTATAAGCTTTAAAGAGGAATGATTTGATCTTTTTTGTATTTGACATTGAGTAAACCAGACAGTATTTCCAGTACGGCAATGCACTAGATTTCAAGCAGATCCTATAGAATTTGCCAATGATGCAAGATGCAAAGTAAATCGGAAGAGCACTTACTTGTCAATTCTTAAGACTTTCTCCATATCTTGGTATAATAAAAAATAGAATTATACTGATTTATCCACTGTAGAGATGAAGTTTGTCATTGCATGAAGTTATGTCACACAATTACTTTGGATTAGGCAGTGAATCAAGGACTATGTACTCAAGATCATATTCCGGTTATGTGTGATAAGAGTGATGCAATGAATTTAACGAAAAATCATTTCTAGTGTTCGAGAACAAAACATATAGAGATTTAACCTCACTTCATTCTGGAATCTGGATCACATGGTTTGAGGTGATTTGTAGCGGAATTTGTTAGCAATGACTACCAACTTGCCGACATCTTCTTAAAACCCATGGTAGAAGATCATTTTTGTTCTCTAGGATGCCGCTTAGGAATGTTAAACCCCCCTAACTATAGCCATTTTTGTAGCTTGTAGTGTCACACACAAATTTTCTTTTGATAACATGAAAATTCAGATGTAAGAAAGAACATTAAAATCACAAAATTCAATATTCATCTTTTAACGAGCATCAGCTAAGTAGCAGAACCTTGAAAACCACAGTATGATTTTTTTTTAAGTGCAATTTGGCATCCAGAGTGCCACATCACCTTTTGAAGTGCTAGCAATTGACCTCCTTTGAACGACCAGGCATTTAAACTCATTAAATCTATTAAAGGTCATTATTTCCCTATAACCATTAACTAACCTTATACCACCTATATTTTAATTTTTTTCAAAAAATTCAAAACCCACTCAATATCCAATTATAAATACCCCCATTATGGCTGTCATATTTTCTATAAATTTCCATTCTTCTAAGACAAGCCAAAGAGAGGAGAGATCCCTCAAGTAGAGAAAGGTTTCAAGGTATAGTTCTTTCATTTAGCTTATTTTGAATCTTCATGAGCCTCACACTTTTTTATTTTTTTTTTCTTATTTTTCTTTTTTTTTTCTTCCATATTTTATCTTACCAAGATGTTAGATGTCCGGTACAAACAACAATAACAACAAGTCTTTACCCACACTACGTGGGGTCAGCAAAGATGTTAGATGTCCAGACACTCAAAAAAAAATCCCACCACCACCGGGATGAATCCTCATAATCTTGTAGGATCCCAAATGCCTCACATCCCAATATCAATCGAGTTTTCATAAACCTACCCCCTTTTAATGATCCATCCATGGACCTAGGTTGAAACATTCTACCCTTGTTTCAGTCATTCGGCCTTCGCGTTTTACTACAATGTGCTTCACCATTCCATTCTAACTTCATTTGTTTCTTATACATTAATATTACCATGGATGAACCTGATTGTTTCAAATCTCATGTTCACAGTTTTGAAATTGAAATCACCAACGAAAAACCTTACAACAGTTATTGGCATGATCAATGAAGCAATTTTCACTAACGGGAAGTGTTCGAAAAAATTAACCCAAACTTAATGAGTCAATGAATATCCAGACCATTCAGTAATGAATATCTAGAAAGCAAAAGTTTCATATGAAGATTGTTGTAAAAATCTCTAGATGGTATTTTTAAGGATAAAAATCCTCCATATGCTAGCATATTTAGAAAATTTATATGAAGATTATTTTTGAATTGTTTAAAATAAGCTAAATATATAAGAAATAGTTCAAATTTGGATCTAAACTCTTCCATGTACTAATATAAATAGGCTTTATACATTGCCATATTGCATAAGCCAAATTAAAGATTAAATAGTTCGATACAAATTTGAGCACTTTCTTTCTCTGTCTTCTGCACAAATTTTCTATATATAAAAAGGAGGGATATAAAGAGGAAAAGAAAAAAACCTGTCTCAAATGAAACCTGGGCAGCTCGAAGTTTAGGAGAAACCAAAGCTCCAAAGACTGACAATGATTTATATCTCCTCTTCTGAAAATGTGAGTAAACTTTTTTTTTTAACATATGAAAAAATAACCAAATGGAAATTTCCAATGCTAAAACAAGTAAATAACTTTTCTTTCACCTTTTTAATAATGCATACGAAAAAGTGTTATAAGCTAGGAGGAAGAGAAGAAGAAAGAGGACTTACATTCTCATCAACTGATTTAGAGGTAGTCGAAGAATTTTTTGAGAGAGAGAGAGCTCTTACATTCTCATCAACTGCAGTAGATTCCAAGGTAACATCTAAAACGAGAAGTATTAACTTTTAGAGAATCAAACATAATTAATTGGAATCGAATAAGTAAAATAATGGAGTGTATATTAAGATATATGTTATACCATGTACATGTTTTGGACGCCGATGCCTTAGCCATGTGCTGTTACAATCCTTAAGCAAACTTCCATCGACTACCTCCGGAGAAAAAATTCTCTCTTCCAAACATGCCCATTTTGATAGCGTAAATTGTGGTTGTAGAACTAAGGCATAACAGTATACGCTATTTTAATACTACAAAGGATTTTAGGGTTGTAGAACAGTGCATATGTTTGGTTTGTTTAAATCATAGCTTCAGAGGATTAGTAATGGTAAAAATGTTTGAAAGTTTAGATGCATAAATTGGTTGACCAATATGATATTAAATAGATTGTCAACAATATCAAGTCAAGGGCAAACTGGTTGAGGTTCCTGTCCATGTTTCCAAAGCATAAATGACGCTCCTCTCCATGTTTCCTAGGCATATATTTTTACCTGATTGAGATTCTTCGACTAGTTCATTCAACATCACTGTGGTTGCAGCAGATTGAACTTTGAGATCAAGCAGTGTGCTTGAAAGACGTGATGGACCCATAGAGTGGCGGGCACTTGCAAGTTCGAGCCATCCCTACCAACCAAAAATTGATGAATGGCCAATTTTTCGTGATACATAATGGATAAGCATTAAGCACAGTTACGGTACATCCTTGAAAAAACACGACAAAGTGATAGGTACCACTTGAATATTTCAAGTGATTCCTATCGGATCTAAGCCAAATCGCCACAAATCCGCTGTTTTCTATGAGAAAACAGCCACCAAACACAAAAACAGTGGAAAAATCTGAGAGAACTCGTAGGGAAAATAGGAAAAACAATAGCAAACGATTGAATTTCACTAGTCGATGCAAAAGACAAGAAAGATACAAGTTTCCTTCGATTCGAGAGGAAGAAATAACTCTCCAAATCTCTAGCCGTAGCCTAGAGCCCAAGAACACAAACCCTAGATCTCCCAACCAATTTCAAATCCAAGATAATCCCCCCTTTTCCTCCTAACCTCCTAATTAACCATAAAAGAGTTTTACAAAATGTCTAAACAGCCCCTTGCATTCAAAATTTCCCTCCCAAAACTCCTCCTTGGCCCCCGTCGGATGAGCTCGGTTCCGCCCGCTGTTCCGCCCGCTCTGTGGGTTTCCGCCTCGAGTAGGTGTGGACCGGTCTGGTTTGGACCGGTCCAGCCGGCTCAAGTGCCGGCCTAACACAAAGATCTATATTTCTTTGGAATAAATACGTTGAACCCTCATCCTTAACATTAGTGAGAGCTCCATGCATTGATATGCCCCTATTACATTATTCAATAATGCATAATCTCAGGAGAATAACCATGTATTTCACCTGCTAAATCCATAGAAAGAGATGCTAAGAAAGATTATTAGGATTTCATATGTGAATTATATAAGCAAGCAAAAAGAATTGTCGAGAAAGGGAAATTAACACAATGCCATTTAAAGAGAGAATGCACATCATCTAAAAGAACAGCACATTAGAGTGACAGTGGGATGCTATAGAAGTATCTATGGATTGTGTTCATCTTTTACATGCTTGAATTTTTGCTACAATTCTAAAGAAAGCACATAATAGACAAAGGGTTCGCTTGGGATGTTTTTCTAACTATTTTGTAAAGCTACTTTTTAGTACAAAATCTCTTGAAAGCATGGAAAAAGCTATAGTCTAAAGTTGTCCCAAACAAAGCCTAAGATAAACTCTTTAAAAAACAAATGAAGCTAAGACCTTGGTTTGCAAGCCCAAACGAAGGCAGATCTGGAAGATGTAGAAGCGTGAAACCGAGGATAACATTGAAGTCTTATTTTAATGATATCTAAATGTCAGCTAAATTTACAGATATTTAGATGCTGAGATATTGTAAAGCAGAATAAATATTAAAAAAAAAATCTTAATTATAACATCACTGTATTCATACAACGACAACATCAAGCCAAATATATCACAATTGACACAATTGATAGGTAACATTGCTTTTTGAATAACAATGTTACCTAATTTATTCTGCGTAGATAACATTGCACCAACCAGATCCTAATAGTATTTAGCTTGAGTTCCCATGCAAAAGTTTAGCAAAGGCAAGTTAAGAGAAATGGGAAAGGAAATATGCTGTGACAGATAATCATAAGCAACTCCCCATCAAAATATCCAAAAATCATTCAGTCCTCGCTAGGTCTCCCAACCTCACGTTTATACATGCTAATTTAAAAGTTGATAACAACATGCTAGTTTTATTTAGTACTCTCCAATCTATTAAACGTTGTCAAATAAAGGAGAAGCAATAGAAATAGCTTTGAAATATTAACAGCTCACATCCAAAAATTCGATCTTCACAGTGATACCGTTAAAAGGCCAAGAAGGTTTTTTTTTTTCCAACATTAAAAAGTTTGTTGTTGTTGTTGTTGTTGTTTCCAACACCAAAAGAAGAAAACCTTGGAAATTAGAGCAAGTAATGCTCAATTGATGTAAGAGCCATACCTGGCGAAGGCTGGAAGAGAGGGAGTCCAAGAGCATGAGATAGCTGTCCAAGGAGTCAAGAAAAAGCAGGGCCTGCTCTTCTCCTTCTAGCTCTCCATTTGTTGCACTTGCTTGTACCAGGCTACAAGCATTGTCATCCGCCATCGCCTTCACGTCATTAACTTAGAGTTTGCTAGGTAGCAATTGCTGCATTTGAAGTGATGAAACTTTAGCAAGTTACGAAACCATTATAGAAAAAATTGTTGTTGCAAATTATTATGGCATAAACATTTATTTTTGTTCACTAATTCTGGCCAAGATATTGTTTGTAAATAAGAGAATCCTTAAATATCTTAAAATAGTGTTCAATGAATTGGGAAACATTTAGCATTATATATGATATCACTTGTCATAATTTTGAAATGAAATTCAAGGGGATTTACCTGCATGCTACACAATTCTGATGTATTTACATATTTAACACCTAAACTTTGATACTTACGCCTTCAACACTTAAATGTCTCAATCATATCAAAGCATATGCATGAAATTTGTACTTTACTTTAGAAAGGCTAATATTAATAATACTTATATAATTTCAAGGAAGTCATTCATATCATGTCATTACCATTAAATATGGATAAAAAATATAATGCAATTTGAATATAATTATCTTAACTAATATCATGCACACGCACATATGTATAAGTAGGATCATCAATAAAAGTAATAAATCAAAGTTCGGAGTAAAAGATTTCGAGATTATGGGCTCGGTTCCAAAATATCATTGTTAACAATATGTGCATCGATGCTAGTATCAATAATGTGCATCGACCTTGTTGGAAACAACAAGCGCCGAATAGATGTTGATAACTTGCATCAACCATGTTAGCAATAGCATGCATCGATGCTAGTGCTAACAACATTCATCAGCCTCCTCGATGATGGTGCGCACCGACGTTGTTTGGTAGTCAAGCGATGGTAGACAAGTAATAGAGGTTGGCTAGGCAACAGTGGCTGATCGGGCCGTGGTGGTCAGTTGGGTAGTAATGGTTGGGCAATGGTAATCACCAACAATATCATCAACATCAATCTTCAGGTAAAACTCTCTTCAACTTCAAATCTCAGTAGTTGTCATGTGGATGGGAAATATCTTTAAATTTTTTGGAGTGAGATTTGATAATTTAGACCAAAATCTTCAAACACTCCATGGAACAATCATGTTATAAACCATTCTTTAAGAATTTAAGCATCTTACTGACATTGAAATTAAGCGAACTTCATATCATATGCTCGTTGGAATCCTTTTGTTGAAACACTTGTTTTGATTATAAGCCCGTAAGATTCAAATATCATTTGGTATCTTATAAATAGTGTCATGAAATTTTCAACTATGCTTAGAATGCTTGATTTAAAATCATTGGGACTCAGATAAAGGCCAATTGGATGTAGATGGTATGTCTCATTGAATCGTTCGCTTAAAATATAAGTTCATGGAAATTGGAGTTTCATAGCCCTGAATTTAATTCCAAAAATTTTCTATTTAAACATTATCTCATTGATACTTGATTGGATGAATTTTCTATTGACACATCAAGTTTCAAAATATAATAACAAGTAATTTTTTATTTTTTTAACATCCATTACAAGCAAAGAATATTAACAAGTATTTATTATTTTACAAGGTTGATGTGCTATTATTGTGTTGGTTAGTAACTCAAATGCAATTATTTTGATTAGATTGCTTATCAAATAAGAGAGGATTGCTAGATACCTAAAGTTTCTTAAGCAAAGAGATATTATCTTTAGTAAGATTGTGAGTGCGTAGAATATAATCTTGCTCTTTCTACTTTAACTCCACATTTTAAGTGTATTAAAATCTTTTATCAAAGATTTAATATTCGAGTAATCTTATAACTAGGCTTCCCCTCTCATGCCTAAATCTATATTTGCATTTATAATGCTTTATTTAAGGCAAGATGAAAGGATGAAAATGCGAGCATTGCAAGCCTAATCGAGGAGACAATCCACAGCATGAAAATCATGAAGTGACTAAGGATGTGGAAAAGGCCATTGCAACCCAAATTAATAATGAATTCAAAACCTTAACGCAAAAAATCATTAGTCTAAACCTCTGTTTAAAATTGCGCAACGAGAGGCGCGCCTCAAGGGCGCAAGGCGCGCCTCTGCGCAATTTTGTCCAAAAACGCCTTGAGACGAACGCAATTCAGGGGGTTGTTGAGGCGTACGCCTCACAGTAGCTGAGGCGCGCCTCTATTGCGTAATTGCGCAATTTATAGAGAGGCGTACGCCTCAGCCTAGTGGCCCCACCCACTTAAAATGAACATGTCATTTCTCCCACACCCGTTCGGCCCTCCTCATTCCCGAAAATAATCGCCCGTAAGCTGTTGTTTGTCATTATCAAACTTACAGGTAGAAGATCTAAATGTGGATGTATTGAGGGGCGAAGCAGATCAAACGGGTACATCCACTAGTACCACACCACACACATCTACTAGCTCTGCAAGTAAAGGTATATGTTCTCTGCCAGTCTGCCTGATAATGAGTGGTTCATCCAATTAATATGCTAATGATCTTTTCTTTTAATGAACAGGGAAGAGAAAAGTGAGTCATGTTGAAGATGAAGATGACATGGCATTCATAGATACAATTGGAGAAGAAGATTCACTTGAAGACCCATTTAGTGATGGGATATGATTTCATTTTATATGTTTTTTGTATTTTGGGAGTTTTGTTAAACTAATATTTTGTAATTTTGTACTTTGGGACATAATTTTATTGCATCTACTTTCTTATTTTCCACTATTGCTATTATTTTTGGCATAGAATACCAATAGAGGTGTGGAAATGCTTATGAGATGAAGGAATTTCATGGCTTACTAAACTTTTTAATACTATTTTGAAGACTAAGAAGATGCCAGATGAGTGGAGAATGAGTGTGTTAATTCCTATTTTTAAGAATAAAGGTGATGTACAAGATTGTGCGAATTATAGAGGTATTAAGTTAATGTGTCATACTTTAAAACTATGGGAGCGAGTTTTGGAGCATAGGTTGCGGTGTGATACTAATGTTTCTCAAAATCAATTTGGATTTATGCCGGGTAGGTCGACTATGGAAGCCATACATTTATTAAGAGGTTTGATGGAGAAATATAGAGAAAATAAGGAGGATCTACATATGATATTTATTGATTTAGAAAAAGCATATGATAAAGTTCCAAGAGAAGTGTTATGGAGAGTTCTTGAAAAGAAAGGAGTTAATAATGCTTATATTCAAATCATTAAAGATATGTATGCAGGAGCTATTACTTGTGTTCAAACACAAGGTGGATTGACCAAGTATTTTCCTATTTCGGTTGGGTTACATCAAGGATCAGCCTTAAGCCCATATCTTTTTGCTTTAGTCTTGGATGTTCTCACTAGACATTTGCAAGAGGATGTACCTTGGTGTATGCTTTTTGCTGATGATATTCTTCTTGTTGATAAGACTAGAGAGGGAGTTGAAGGTAAACTTGAATTATGGAGGTCAACCTTAAAGTCTAAAGGTTTTCGCTTTAGTTGATCTAAAATGGAATATATGGAGTGTAATTTTAGTAGTAATAGACCTAGTGAGGGGATTGTGACTTTGGGCGATCAAGTCATTAATAAGAGTACACGTTTTAGATATCTTGGATTTATTGTTCAAAGTGATGGTGAAATAGATGGGGATATTATCAGCAGAATTCAACTTGGATGGTTGAAGTGGAGGAATGCATCGGGCTTGTTATGTGATAGAAATGTACCCCTCAAACTTAAGGGAAAATTCTATAAGATGGTAGTGAGGCCTGCAATGCTTTATGGTGCCGAATGTTAGCCATCAAAAGAGAAGCATAATACTAAGTTAAGTGTGGCAGAGATGAGGATGCTCAGGTGGATGAGTGGCTTTACCCTTAGAGATAGGATACGAAATGAGCATATACGTGAAAAGGTTGGAGTAGCTCCAGTAGAAGATAAGATTAGAGAGAGTCGCCTTAGATGGTTTGGTCACATAAAACGGCGACCTTCCGATGACCCGGTTAGGAGAGTAGAGGTATTAGATTTGACTTATGTTAAGAAAGGTAGGGGTAGACCTAAAAAGACTTGGTTAGAAAATATTAGGAATGACCTTTCTTTATTAAATTTAAACGAGAATTTGACTTTAAATAGGACACAATGGAGAAAAAGGATTCATGTAACCGACCCCACGTAGTGGGATAAAGGCTTGATGTTGTTGTTGTTGTTGTTGTAGAGGTGGAACAATCTTAAAAATGGTGTATGTAAGCATTAAGATAACTCAACCTGAAGAAGGCGACTATAAGGAACCAAAACCATCATATGCTTTAAAAAATGTCATATTGATTATGCCATCATTACAAAGTTTAAAACCTTGTAGCCCTTGTCTACAAGGGAGTGTTAGACCATGAGAGCACATCATAAAATTTGAGACGAGGTGTAGGGTGTTCCTATCCTCATAGAGTCACACAATGGTGGTTTTTTGGGTTGCAATTAGCTCCATTATCATATTATTTTATTTTAAAAACTTATTAGCTATAAAAATGTTATGGTCACAAAAATCTTGAAATGGAAGTCAAACTGTCTCCTATTTTCAACAAATGTTGAATTAAACTTTAGGAGATCTTCTCAACAAATTTAAAAATTAGAAGTTGGAGGTCTAAGGTGAAGGTAAATTCTAAGTTTGATATACAGAAATCCCCTAAAAATGATGATCGAACTATTGGACAAAGTGGAGGACTATATGAATAATAAAGAGCTAATGATGAGAAGAAAGATACAAATGAGGTGGTCGCTTGCAGAGAGAGGAATGAGATAAGAAGCCCGAGATGAATTCATAAAAGAAAGGGAAGACGAAGAGGCCTAGCTCGCAAGCTATCCAAAAAACCCTCAAGTTTTGCTGTCCAAAAATCACTCCATAATCTCTCTTTTTTACTCCAAAACTGTCCTTATTTATAGGTGAAAAGAGGAAGCCAAACAACCCAAATAACCTCCAGCCGAACCAACCAAGAAAAAGATAAAAGGCCAACATGTGGCTCCAAGAACAGCACCCGATAGGTCACGCGGGAAGCAGGAACGGACAGCCACGAAAACAAGAACAGCCAGCCACAGGAACAGAAGCCAGGCGGAGAAACCGAAGGCCAAACAGAGGGGGATGAACCCGCCTAAGCCCAATTATGAGCTGAAAAAGGCATTTATAAAAATATAATGAGCTGAACTAATAAGTAGAACACAGCAGCCACCAAAAAGGGGCAGCATAACCCGAGATAACCAAACCCAAACCAATGAACCAAATCAACCCAAGAGCCAAGGCACATCAATTGCTTTGCCCCCCCCCTGCCTGCATCAGCAAGTGATATGAAAATTTTTCCTGAGAATGCCTTTTAATATTACTAAGTGGTGGAATAAGTACAAAAGCTTGCAAATTTCTTAATTCCATGAAATGAATCTACTCAATGGGTCTAAGTGTTTGTTGATGCACTACAAAAAGCCCACAAAAAATCAAACCTTGCTATGAAGATATTGTATATTCAAGACTGAATTGTGTTGTTCTTAAGAGCTCAGAGTAAATATCATAAGTTAAAGTTTGAGATGTACCCATTGGATATTATTCTCATTGTCTTGGTACCAACTAGAGAAAGTATTGAAGTATTATCATGTGTTAGTAAAATGTAGTTCCTTAAAAGCAAAAGTATTGGCATCTTCATGGATCATATTGTCATGGGTTGCATTTGATATCATTCACAACATAGATTGGTTAATCGAACATCATATTGTGATACAATGTCGAGAAAAAGAGTTAAGCTTAGAAGACTTGGTGAATCAAGTTATACTCTCTATGGAGAGAGCTGAGTAGTTTGCCCTTAATTCTCAGCTCTTCGGGCAATGAGTCTTCTAATGAAGGGATGGTATGCTTACTTAGTGCACATAAGAAACAAAAATGATGAACCGGTTCAGTTGAGTAGTGTACCTATATTTTGAGACTATTCATATGTATTTCACATTGAATTAACTAGCTTACTACTAGACTAAACGGTCGAATTTTCTAATATGTTTCCACTTCCATGAACTTCCCTAATTCAAAGGCCCCATACAAAATGGCAATGATGGATTTACATGAGTTGAAGAATAATAACCAGATTTGTTCAAGAAAGGATTTGTTCGGCCAAATGTGTATTCCTAGTGAGCTCCAATAGCATTGATTTTTTAGGGTTGAATAAGGTAACATAAAAAACAAGTATCTAAGATAAAAAACAAAAAAGTCATAATATAAATCTTATTTGTTAGTACGGCAAGATTTTGAGTTATCTTGCAAGTGGAGTCATCATTAAGTATGATTATTTTTATTATCACCCGTCCTTGGTAAATTCTTAGATTTAATGTTCATCACCTTGGCATGACTTCATCAATGAAGGTGATTGGAACAACTTTATTTTCAGGAGAAGATTGTAATTTAGCCTAGCGATGAACTTCATGTAGGTTGACGTTTTGGCTAGAACAACATCCAGAGAAAATGAGCACTTACTGGACTCAAAAATATAGTCATGTATGGACTACCCAATCCTTGCTTCAATACCTAACCTGGGGTCCAACTCTCTCGCAAGCAACAAATAAGATAGAACCACAATTTTGCTCCAATATTAATGATGAAGCAATTGTTCAGGTGCTGGGCTCTCTATATGACTATTTGGATAACAATATTGTGTGCAAGCTTAGTAAGAAGTTATCTAAAGTATGATTTGCAAAGAAACGCTTAAAAACATTTTTATTCCATTATGTGCAATTAAACATAGTTCCAACATTAAGCATGACCAATGACTCCTACTCAAGATCTAGAGACATAGGAGACGTGATACCATGCAGGGGTGCGCATAAAGGGTAAAAAGAGTTGATGACATTAAGATGGCCGTTGGTTATTCAGCTATGCAAAATTGGTCTCTAAAAAAGTTCAATTGAGATTTAATTCTCACAATGTCATGTTCAGTTCAAATTAAGATCCACCATACCTGCATGGGCCACATGTAGCACAAAGTCCCATGGAACTTTATTGACAATATTTCTATCTATCCCAAGTCAACTTGTATTGCCACCAATACATGATATGGAATCAAGTATTATTTGAACTGTTGGCATAAATTACATTACCATGTGAACATATTCAGATTCCTGAAATTATAATGCCTTGGTAGACATATTATCATTGTGTCCATCTATTATTAAAATGATTACATTATAGTGTTCTTAATTGTTTTTGCTAGGAGATGCGGAAAATAGAGGATGGAAAAAGTAGTAGCGGGGCAGGTAAGCGATGAGTTTACGAAACTCGGTTGGGACTAAAATAGGAAGAGAAAGAAAAAATAGTTAATTGTAAATGCTCAATATGGGAGAGGAAATGAGATAGAAGACAAACTGAAGACCTGCTGAATCACGGTTAAAGGGGTACAGAAAAAGAGACGTAGGATTGGGAAATAAAATGGACAAACCTTGGAAGGAGGGGGAGACCACCGGTGCAGAGTATGGAAGCCCATAAAATGGTTGGAGGGCCGGCGTCGCTGGCGTTAGTCCAGGGAAAGGAATAGGCGACTGGATGATATTGCAAATGCAAGGTCACAAGGGGAAGTTAGAATTAGGGGCTGTTTGGCATCGGATTTACAGCGGGATTTAAGTCGTATTTACGCTAAATCCAGCCAAACGGTTTTTTGAGATCGCGTTCAGCGGATTTAACAGGATTTGGCTGAAGAAGCGCGCGAAAGAAAGAAAGATGGATACCTTGGCAAAGAGCAAGAGCAAGCTCCCGTAGTCGTCGTTACTTCCGATCCAACAGAGAACGGCAAGGAGGTGTGGTTTCAGATCCTATATTATATGAAGGAACGTCGTGTCGAAGGAAGAAGTTATTAAGAGAATCGTTCAAAATTACCTCTCGTTCTTCTCCTTTGCTCCATTCGAATTAGCTCCCGTCAACACGCGAACGAAGCTCCCGTCATTGCTTCCGATCAAAATATCGTAACTTCTGATCCGACAGGAAGGGAACGTCGTCGAAGAAGCCAAATCGAACAGCAACGAAGGAGCCCAAGAAGTGATTCGTGAAATCTCTTCACTGATAAGCAACGAAGCCGAACAGCAACCACGAAAAAGAGAAGACGAAAAGCAAACCCTAGACGTCAATATAATTTAAAATATTAATAGTTAAGTAAATAATTAGTAGCATAATTAATACATTTAATTACATATCTCATTTATTTTAATTAAATATTTAATAATAACACAACTCTCCTTGACCTATTGGTTGAGAGCTTTGGCTTCCAACTAAGAGGTTCAGGGTTCGAGTATGTGTATGCTTTGTGTGTGTGAATTTGTCTTAAATGACCTAAATGTCCCAAAAAAAAGAAAAATATTTAATAATATAATTATCTTAATAAATATAATTTAAAATAAAAATAACTAAATATACAATTAAAAGCCTAAAAAATAATTAAATCATTAATTAGTAGTATAATTTTTAAGTGAATAATGAAATAATTGATAACATAATTTATAATTAAAATTAGTTAAATAATACTTAAATAATTAATCAAGTTATTAATATGAATATTATTTAAATAATTAGTTATTAGTTGTATAATTATCATTAAATTATTTAGATGTTAATTATCAAATTATTTATTATATTACTAAATCCCATTAAATTAAATTCAATTCAATATCAAACAGCCTCTTACGGTTAGGACTTACGAGATTCCTCAATAAGTAAAAATTATATTATTTTATATTTTAATCACCATAGAAACTATATTTGAGAAAGCGAGATACATTTAAAAAAAACAATTGGGGCACAATGGTTGGGAGAAAAACATTAGAACCACATATGTACAAATTCGAGTGCTCATCAACCTTATAAAAAAAAATTGTGATGCCTAGACAAGTAATATATATTGCAATTACTTTTTTATATAAATAATAATTTGATTGATCAATAAATAATTTTTATTACTGATCTTGACTTATATATTGTTTGTATATGCTATATTAAATTAATCAAACTTAAAAAAGCAAGTTGTAAAAATTAGACTAAAGATTGGACTGAAATTTTTGAAAAAGAGAGAAATTCAAAGTTCAATGGTTCGATGAGGATTAAATCGGGGTCAAATCGAATGATATAATAAATATTAAAAATATTTAAATGATAAGATAATGATGTAATAATTATGAAATAATATAATATTATTACTAAAAAATAAATAAAATTTATGCATAAATAATTTACTCTATAAGTTTCAATTTAAATATAAATACTTATTAATTTATATTATATATTTAAATATAAATAATTATTAATTTTCAATTTAAATGTAATTATCTTAAATTATTTATTTTAATTCACATTTAATATAATTTTAGTTCATATATAAATATATAAATTTAATATAAATAACTAATAATTTATGTGATATATTTAGTTAAAATTTACATCTATAAATTATAAATAACATTCACATTATAAAATTAAATATATAAATTCATACTACATTATTTATAATTAACAATAGATTAAAAATTAGTTTTAATATTTTATAATTAGATTGTTAAATTGACAAACATTAAGTATTATTAACTAAAAAGAAAATATTCTTTATATTATAATTTTTTAAAAAAATTATATTTAAAAATATGTAGTTTATGTATTATTAACTTGAGAAATTTATTTTAGATCTTTAGTTTCACATTAACAGTACAATTTATGTTAGTATTGTTCATATAATTTGTTTGGATTTGAATGAGCAAAGAAATCACATGGATGATGATGTCATGTAAGTGAGCTTAATTGGAGCAAATAAAATCTAACTATTATAAATGATATATCACAAAATATTGTTTTGATTGGGCACAAATCTCGAGGCATATTCATGTAAGAAACTTTCAAAATTACAAAGGAATTATCCAAGCTATGATTTCAACAAACTTATAGTCGAATTGAACATCTCGATGAGATGAACCCAACAACACCAAAATCAGTCTAATATTGTCACGACCCGACCCGACGGAGACGGATCCCGCCCGAGCCGGATCGCGACAGAACCTTCTTATCCAGGATCTGGCTTTGTCAGAATCGTACAGAAATCAGAAATTCAGATTATATCGGAACAGAATTGTACGGAAACAGAAGTCAGAAATCAGAAACAGAACAGATCAGATATAACAGAATCTTACAGAACAGATACGGAAATCAGAATCAGATCAAATCAGATATCAAATATTTAATTCATAGCTAAATGCCCTGACACTGACGGAATCTCTACGGATTCCGGCCCCTTATGCCTCCCTTCCCAGACACTGACTGAATCTCATAGGATCCAGGCCCCTTATGCCTCCCTTTGTGCTCACGGCACCAGAACAAATGTGCTTATAGCACCAGAACAGAATTCATCGGATCCGGAACAGAACAGATATCAGATTTCAGATTTGAGCTCATTTCAGATTTCCCAGACACTAACTGAATCTCATAGGATTCAGGCCCCTTATAACTCCCTTTTTATAGCTTATACACATAGCATTTCAATTCAGAAGAAATCCGGACAAATCAGAAATCAGATAAAAATCGGGCAGCACAACGGCAGTAGACAGAATTTACACAAAATTTCCTGCAAAGAAAATTTACCAAATTCGCACAGAATATAGATAATCACATTCCAGAACACTTATTCTACTGCACAGAGAATTTACCATTTCACAGAAAATTGTAGTCTACGAAAAACTCCGCCGAATCAAAAATCCCGGACAAAAATCTTTGGAAAATAACCAAAATGTGCACACTCGGCACGTCAACAATATACAGAAAGTTACGCGGTAAAAACTGAACCAATCAAAAGATACGGACGAAAAACCGTAACGGAAACAAAATCCGGACAGAATATACCGCCAAACTCGACGGAACTGAAAATTGAGAAAGGCGGAATGTGCCTTACCTCGCGTACAGCAATATTCTGAACAGTCACTTCGGACGAAAACGGCTCCGCGTCGCCCGAAAATCAACTTTTCTCCAAAAATCCTCGAGTTTCTCTCTCCTCAGATATTTTATATTTTTAATTTCTGATTTTCTCTCTCTTCAAAACGACTGATTTCAGCTTTATAATCTTCAGATCGGCCCGGCCGATCGCCAGATCGTCCCGGGACGATCAGACCAAAATTCGATCGTCCCGATCGCCCTGGACGATTCCCAGAACTATTCTCAGGCCGATATTTTCTCAGTGCCGATCGGCCTGGACGATGTCCAAATCGGCCTGGACGATGTGTACAAAAAATCACCTGGAGCAAACCTGGGCAAAATCTGGAGCAAACTTTCCACTGATCGTCCCAGGACGATCCAGATCGTCCTGGACGATCCTGGAGCAGATTATTGATATTACAAATATGAGCCCAAATGAAAGTTCCAAAATCTATTTAGAGGTTCGAAGCATTAATTTGATAACCAAATGATCATTGAATATGACATGCTTATAGTCAAATCGAGCGACTCAATGAGACGATTCTAAGGAGCCCAATATCGCTTTATTCTAACATTATTAAGGCACATGAATGCTTTATAATTAAGAGAATTAATATCAGTCATCCAATTAAACACTCTAAATATGCCCTTGATCTTCTCTATATTTACAAGTCATGTCATTCTCAAAAATATCTTAATCACGCACGAATCTCGAGGCAAAATCAAGTTGGAAACTTCAAAAATTAAATTCGAGGCCATCTAAACTCTGATTTCAGAAAACTTATAGTAAAACTAAACATCTCGAAAATATGAAGCCAACGACATCAAATTTAACTGAATATGAGCTCAAATGAGTCAAAAATAAAGATCCAAAGCACTTTAGGAAGGTTCAAACCATAATTTGGATTAATAAAGAGTTTCCAAACATAACATACTTATAATTCGAATCTAGCGGCTTGACGAGATGAATCAAATGAGCCCAAGATTGCGAAAATTATGATATCATTAAGAAATTCAAATGCCCAATAAATGGTCCACAATCAAGTGATTTAACATCGACTGTCCATTCAAACCACTCTCAATTTACTCTTGATCTTCCTCCAATTTACTAGCAACGCCACTCTCAGAAAATTATAAATTTACATCTCTTTCTTCCTTGAGGAAGAGGAGGAAGGAAGCCTAAGCAATAAGAGAATTAATAGTTCTCTTCCTACCAGACTCCTCCTCGACCTCCTCCCGGCACCGACAAATGCCAGACTTTCGCACGTTGCTAGATTTCTATGCATTGCTAGACTTTCGTCAGACTTTTACCCGACACCGGACTTCTGCCCATCATCGATTTTATACCCGCCGCCGGACTTCTACCCGTCATTGGTCTTTCGTCGGTCTTCTATCCGATGCTATACTTATACGCATCATCGGACTTTCATCACACTTCTACCCAATGCTGAACTTGTGCGCTTCGTCTGATTTCTGCTCGTCATCAAACTTTCATCGGACTTCTACCCGACACCAGACTTTCATCCATTACTAGATTTTTACCCGACGTCGGACTTCCGCCATTCAATAATCCTTCTGACCTCCATCACCAAATAGCAGTCTTGTTGCGTCTAGGAGTATTCGCGGTGGTAGAGAAAAATAAAGTTTATCATCTTAGCGTTGTACGAAAATCTGGCACGCAATCAGATAAGAGAGAGGGTTTAGCATTTATGAGAAACTAAGATTTTTACTTGGAAAACCTCTGAAAAGGGGGGAAAACCACGGGGTCTTGCCTAGTTTGAATGAATCCACTAGTATTACAGTCGATTACAAAAGAGGCCCTTGCTTGGGAGAATGCCTTAGCTTGATGTACATTTTATAGAGTACATTACATGATATGAATACCAAGAATCACTATTGATATGTTCGTTTGGTCAGGAGCGTAATCGGCGGGCATCGGAAGTCGGAGGGCTTGTAGTCGGTGGGCGACATAAGTCAAGAGGATCGTAGTCGGCTGAAGATGGAGGTCGGAATGGCTGTAGTCGGCGGGCAACTTAAGTTAGAAGGACCGGGCGACAGAGGTCGGAAAGATTGTAGTCGGTGGACAACATAAGACAGGAGGACCGTAGTCGATGGGCAACGAAGGTCGAAAAGACTGTAGTCGATGGACGATGTAAGTCAGAAGGAT